AAAGCATTTAATTTAACAGGTCCATATTGGTAACTACAGATGAGATTGATATCAAAGTATGGGAATTTAATAATGGAGAAATTCAATTGCTAACATCTTTGAAGGGACATACAAATTATATCAACTGTTTGATTTACAGTAAGAATTAAAATACATTTATTTTATCTTCGGATGATAAAACAATTAGATGCTGGCAATCATTTAATTTACAAAATTGGAATAGTTCACAACCATATAATTAGCATACCCATTATGTTTAATGCCTGATAATTAATGAGAATGAAGATTTGTTATTTTCTGGAAGTTTTGATAATTCAATTAAAGTTTGGAATGTTGATTTTAATAAGAATTGCTTGACATATTAATATACTTTGAATAAGCATACTAATCCTGTAAATGGCTTAAGTTTGAGCCCATCAGAAAAGGTTTTGGTTTCATGTGCAAATGAGAGTAATTCAATAATTATTTGGGAAAGAAATGCAAATAATATCTTTGAGTTTAAATACGTTGTTAAATAATCGATTTAAGAGAGAGGGAATAAAATTATGTTTATATCAAATGAAGAATTTATTTGGGCAACAGCTTCCAGAACTTCAGATTATTTGTATGCGTTCTAATTAAAAGAAGGAGGAGTGTTTTAAGAAAATCCAGAAAGGACAGTCAAACTAATTCCAAATAAAATGTTTGCAGACGAATTTCGATTCCCAATTCTTTATAACAAAGAGAAAAATTTGATAATATTAAGGATGAAATCAATAGTATATATACTTGAACAACTTAAAGATGGTAAATACAGAATAGCTTCTTAATTAAATTTTAATACTTTTGAATATATATGGTCAAATTACAAATAATTGGTAATATCTAGTATGCTGGGATGAAATAACTCAAGGATATAGCATTTATGAATTATAATTAAAATGAACAATCAATATTGTATAATAATTATATTTTGCAATATTCTTTATTTGAATTAAACTCTTATCTGAAAATGATAATACTCAATGTAACTTGTACAGATAATTTCTTACATTTTAGTTAGATTCTAGAAAGATTGAAAAATGAGTACAACTTGAAATAAAGTCTCAGTAATCTTCCAATTTTAATTAAATGTTAATGGAAATAGATCCAGTCAAATCATAGTTCACCTTGATGCCTAGATTTCTATCATCAATTAATATGTAGGATATTCAATATTATATGTTGAGGTTCATTACAACAGCACTATCAATAGGGAGCTTAAACAACCGTATTTTTACTTTAAACTGTTTTTAGATATCAATTATATAATATCTCCGAGATTAAGAATAAATATCAATAATTTCCATTAACTATTAAAGTTTTTTACTTTACGAAGTGGTAGAAAGGTAAATTTACTAGTTAAATAATATTTTCTTTATAACAATAGATGCAAATAAAGTTGATATAGAATCATGCTTCTTGGTAGCTGTCAATTAAAGTTTTCAAAATCGTTTTTAATAATTAAAGAATACTATAATATTGAATTCTAATTAATTTTACTTCTATTTTTATATAGAAGTTTTGAAAGTCGCCTCATTTACATAGGATTTATTGTGAAATCATAATTGTTACAAAACACGTATATTCATTTTGGAATCAATAATATTTATAAAAACATATGAAATACTTTGTTTTTTTTTTATGATATTGTTGCAATATAAAATTCAGTATGATTTGACTTATTATATTAGCTTATTGCTTGAATTAATCAGCTTATGTTGGATTATTTGAATAAAGAAAATGTTTCTCTAATGATAGAAAAGAAAATGTATAAGAAATATGTTTCTTTTTGAATAGATTTTGTTCTCAAAATTAATTGCTTAAATTTTAAAAAGAATTTGGAAAAACAAATTGATTTTATTATAATTCATTCCAGACTTATTTACAGTATGCAAAATGTGAAGCTTATAATTAGTTTAATATAACTTTCAAATATTATTTGTATTAAAGTTATGTTTTGTACTACCGAAATATTTATTTTAAGATTACATTCATATAATAATATTAAATTATTTATTGAATTGAATATTCAATTATTTTAGTCGAATGAATTTTAAATTGATTCCATTTTTTTCTGGAGACATTCCTAATTTGTGATTAGACTATGATTCTAAAATTGATAGATATTTAAATAATATATGAATGAGTATTATGAAATATTATTTAATCCTGATAACCTATATAATACAACTTTAAATGTTACAGTTTAGGGAAGTCATAAAATGACATATGATATTGGCTAGAATAGAATGAATTTATTAATTATATCTGTATAATTCCTAAAAATTACCTAATATTTAAAAGTACTCAGTAAATGTTAACATGAGTATTTATTTACGAGAAGCATTTTGAATTTAACATAGATTCTATTCGCATGTAGTTTTCAAATAGAAAATAATGATATTGATGATTCATTAGAAATTTAATATGCATATTTTGTTCACCTATCTTATATTACTCTAAGAAAAGTAGTATATCGATTTAATAATAGGAGTAATATTTTTTTAAATTCAAAAAAATATTTATATTAATTAATCTAAAATTTAATATTTGATACCATGATAAAATCAGTTTGATTAATGTGAAACAGAATAATCATTATAATCTTAATAATCAATCATTTAATTCCTAATTTTTGGTTTTCATTGATTGTAAAAAGTGATCCTAAATGTTAGAGATTTAAAGATGTATCACTAGAATTGTAGTTTATATATTTGTATTGTGTTAAAATATTAATACAAGATATCATTTATTCAAACTTTATTTATTAAAATTTCATATGGTTAAACGCGATA